GTCATCTAATCCGCAATAGGCTTTATGATCGTACGTGCACGACGGATAACTGCGTTATTTGTCCGTTTGGAAGAGATGGAGATTGCACACAGCGAGGAACAGTGTATCAACTTCAGTGTTCAGCTTGTGACGAAATATATATTGGTGAGACGGGAAGGATGCTGAGCATACGCGTCAAAGAACATCTAGCAGGTAAAAGGCGTGGAAGCCTACTCACGCCGCTTGGGAGGCATCGACTAGACGAACATCATGGCGATGATTTTGATGTCAAATGCAAAATCCTAGCCTACGAGAATGAGATCGGTGCCAGAAAGATATTGGAAGCGTTGCACATCCGCGAGAGAAATCCTAAGCTGAACAACCGAAATGAATGCATTGCCATAACAAGTGAACTTCTGCCATTCATTCCCTTTTGTGGACTTTGAGATCACCGCGTAATTCTTATCTCACGATCGTCGATGGTGTCTCATTAGTCCCTTATTGTTCACGGCATCGAGTGGGACGGCGACGCTGGTGAAACCGCAGAAGGTTGGTTTCTTCGCTGGAATATTTTGGTGTTCAAGTTTCTGGGAGTTGTTGCAACTGGCCTAGCGGGTTTGGGCGCTTGGTCGGGTAAGTCACAGGTCAGGAGCTCCGAACTACTTTCAGGTCCTTGAAGACGACGAGTTGTTCGAAACGTCGACCTAATAAAGCGGTTTCATCATAACAAACCTGTACGGCAAAACAGAGTATAAACATTTTTGCGAATGTTTTGTTATACGGTTCCTAAACGGCCATTATCGAGTGTTTTAGTTGCAGTGCTGTTAAGGCACCCTTTGAGTTAGGTTATCATCTTTTTTTGTTAATCCATTTATGTTTGTAGAACTGTACCGAACTGTTGCAAGCATATAAGGACAAAGTGAAGGAAAGTGGGGATACCAGTCTACTGACGATAATGGAGCCTCACTCGGATCAAGATAGTGGAGGGGTGGAATCAAAAAAAGGCGATAAGCAAGGCAATGGTTCCAATACTCCGAAAAAGTCAAACGTGAGCTATATCGTTTGAGACGTCGTATTCATTTGACTAGCTACTAATTATGTTTGTTTTGTTCAGAAAGCTCCCCCTGACCCAACTAAGGAAACGAAAAAGGTGGAGAAACCTCATAGTGAAAATGCTGAGAAGGTTTCTAGCACTCCTTCTGAAGCGAAGAAAAAGAAGAAGAGGAATGCTCAGCAAGATGGAGAAGTGAAGCCCAATGGAGACGTTTCTTCAGCCAAGGTATCACTTATGCGTGGTCAACTTATTGGCAATCCTTCGTTGTTTTCTTTCCAGAAAAGTAGAAGAGCGAAGCGCTCGATTGCGTCAGATGCGGAGCTAGGATACACAAATGGTTGCAAGGTTGATGCATATAAAGGGTTTTCCGCCAAGGTAAGATATCAATTATTTATGCTTTTAAGGCACGTCTATCGTTTCTTTACAGCAATACGACGAGCCGGTCATTCTTGTGAGCTACAAGGAGCCTTTGCCTAGTGGTTTCGAAGACAGGCATGATGAAATAGTTCCTATTCGCCTCATAGCTAAGTCTGATCCACAGGTAAGAGTTCAGGAACTCTTTAAAAATATGTGTGTGCTGTAATTGCTTTTTATAATATTAAATTATATGTATGCCGGAAAATAAACATTAGGCCATTTTTCTTCCGAGGGATAAAATGTCAAAAAAGTCGCGCTATAGTGAGGGTGCTCCTTTCCCTCCAAATTGTACGCTATCATTTCCTCTTTTTCTATCTTTTGATCTTAAAGCTGTGGAAAAATTCCTGGTATTCTTTTTCTGGAAGTGACGTGCACCTCAACCAGATGTAGAACTTGTCTCTGGGAGGAGACGAAATAGGCCAGGGAGTCTAGTTGCAGTCCCACCTCTACTTTGCCCATAAGTTATGGTTTTGATGGTACTCATTGATGAAAATATTTGGACAGTGTGTATCATAACTTAGTTTTCAAATTACCGCAGTATGGAAGCAGTGAAGTTTCAAAAAACTTACCTGAACCCATGTAACCGCTGAAATAATTGCTCTGTTTTATTTCTGTCATTTTTGGGTATTATCACGCAGTTCAGCTTTGCAATAAGACATATAGATCAGTTCCTTGAGAAGAATAGAAGTCTTTTTTCGGGCATACCTTTCCCTTCATGGCTTAGCGCTCAATATTCAATGGAGGAAAATCGAAAAATTCTGCTGTTTACTCAATAATTTTTTAATTAGTTATCGCAAATTTCTGCCTTTTTACAGGGACTCATCAATCATTTGGTCGAGCTGCTGTCAGGTGGACGCGGAAACGTCACGATCTAACAAGATAACCTCTTGAAATCCCACGTGGTACTTACCGAGTGCTCTAGTTCTATTTATCGGTTGTTTCTGGTGTCGAGTTGGTTAAGTTGGCAATGGTGTGTTCTTATATATTTGTTCTCGTTTTTCTTATATCACTCAGTCCTGCTAATGTTGTGTATTGCCACGTTTCGCCCGTTGATTCTTTTATAGCATACTTACATTTATAGCATAACAATTAGCCTCATATCTCTAACAGATCTGATCATATCCTAGGTCTATTTGAAGTTCTAGCAGGAGCTTGCGTTGTTGATGATCTCTACGCTGGCAATAAATTTCGTTTTCCAATACAGAATACTCTGCATCATTGAGCGTTTGTCATGGACTGGAGCTGGAATTACAGTGCACTTCCAACTCTGTCATGGGTAAAGTGGAGCGATAGTCGAGAATTGGTTGAAGTTGCCGGCGGAGCAGAATGGAAGATACGTAGTGAGTACCCCTTTTGAATGTTTCTTAGCTAGTTAGCCGAACTCTAAGTCCTATATCTGTAGCCTTACCGCTAAACCCTTAAGTGGCCGCTAGATGTTCATTTACGCACAACAAGGACGTTAATACCGTTTTGAACATAGTTGCGTCACATTTCCTATGTAAGGGTAAACAGTACCGCTGAGGTGGGTGGAGTTGAAATCGTAATTATCTTCGTTCAGGGTTAGAACAGACATCACCGGAATTCTCTTGGAAGTATTGTGGATCCTCCCCTATTGTGCAGTATTATTTTGAAAAAGCTTTAAGACAGGTCATCGGCTTTTTTGTTTTTCCTGCTAAAGAATTCCTTATCAATTACATATATGAACTGTGGAGTCCATTATGAAATAGTACTCGATATCAAATCGACCATCCCCGGGTCGTGAATCTATTGTTCAGTCCAGTCTTATTTGCTATAGATTTACAGTAACTTCATTGTTGGCTCACAAATACCGGGTACATGCGGTGTGTGAATGTATGTCTAGTCTACCAGTCAAATAAGTCCCATTAACCGTGAAGGAATAGAAGACTCATTGAGCAACGTTGAGATATGATTTTTTTCTTATTTGATCAGATTGGGGTATAGTAGCGAGTTTGGCGCAAATTCGGTTGAGCGGGCATTGCTGCATCTGTTGCCTATGAATACGGCACAAAAAGAAAAAGGGAAACCACCGACTCATGCAACAATCCATATGGAAATGCTATAAAACCTAAAAATTTCGACTTGAAGCCTATTTAAATGAATGCAAGGTTGCTGAGGCTTTTCGTGATTCAGACGTGTGACCAAGGAGCTGGAGATACCACTGACCTACCACTCTTCTATGCTACAATACCCCATTTCGTATCCCCTGTTGAACTGAGCATTCAGGTTAGGACAGGAATTTTGATATTCCTGAGCCTTTCTAGATTTTTCTAGAATCTTCTCACACTCATTTTAACAAATTCAGCCCAAATTCTTAGAGAAAGCGAGAAGGGCTCTATCACAGCAAATGACAGCAGTATATTGTCAAACTGCGAATGCTCCGAGTTTTTCGGAAGGCCAAGTGAGTGGTGTTTTAGCCTATCTTGAACGCACTTTGACGATCAGGCTCATCAATAAAGACTTCATACAAAAAGAAAATGTAATGAGTATAGATCAGTCTTATTTTGGCATGCGGACGCCTCTATTCTCCAAATTGAAAGGTTTTGAACGAGTTCTGGCTGACTTAGAACGAATAACTTTTCTTTCTAGTCTTCACCCACTAATGAGGATTGTGCATGTGAGAGTTTTGCTCTGCCGATCTAATGCGCCTCTGCCTGCAGTAAACATTTAGCTTTTCTCCTTCTTCTGCTTACCATACACTTTTCCACGACCCGAAAGTATTTTCTAGCAGAATTGAAGATTTTTATAGTGAGCACCTTCAGTTTGTGGGACCGTCTGACCCGTTGTAGGCAAAAATACGCTTGGCTTCGGCACACTTATGGTTAGCGTGCCATAGACTTTGCTCAATTTTACAACCTTCTTTCTGATCTCTAGGCTTCCTTGAATAGCGGTATGGATTTGTAAAGTAAATACCGCCCATTTTTAGTCTGCCCCTCCTACTGCGATTGAGTCCCCATCTTATCGACAAATTGTTGCTCCTATTTCCATTATCACTGTTTGTGCTTTGTTTTGGAAACAAGATACGAATTTTGTCTTACGCTCCTTCCATTTTGATGCATGCGCTGGCTCTAGAATATGAAATACCGCTGAAAACACACGTGCGGTCTATGATCTCTTATGTCCCTCCCATTCCAACTTGAACCTACGATGGGGTCATTCAGCGGGATTTTGGATTATCAGATAACATAGTTATCTCTAAATTCGAACGCTGAATTGCTGAGAGCATCACGCTCGATATGTTTCGTTTGATTGGTATTTTTAGTGTATTATCAGTATTATTAGTGGTTGATCATAGCTCCACCCACGTCAGGGCAGACCCTTTCCACTAATCTTGACCACCCTTTTTTTAACTGCTCCTAACCATTTTCTCCGCATTCTAGAAAGTTTTTGAAGGGATGAATTTTTAGTCCCAGCCCCGCTTTCCTTTGCCAGCTCCGCCCACTTCGAGAATTTGACCATTTGTTCCATTACCTCCTTCCACTTCTTGGCCGCGTTCTAGAACGTTTCTGAACAGAGTTATGATCTTTTGATTTAGGCCCCGCCCACTTCGGGGCCAACCCCACCCGCTTCGGGGATTCGACCACATTTGTTCCATTACCTCTAAGCACTTTCTTCACTCATTTTTGAAAAGTAGCTTCCACCTTGACGCACGCCCCGCCCATTGTGGGCGGGGTTTCGCTAAGCTTACACATGCCCAGCACGCATAAGGCCCTCCTCACTCTTTTTATTTTTTTCTCTGGCCTCGACGCCTTCGTTGAATCGAGTTATGAATCTCTGTGGAAAGTGCCGCCCACTGCGAGAACGCCTTTCCCACCGCCGGTAAGTTTCCTTTGTTGACCCACCCCCACCTTTGCACAATTTTTCCCTGCGTCTGGACTGTTACGAGACCGAATGAAAAGAATTAGCCTATGACCCCGCCCGATTCCGGCGCAAGCCCCGCGCCTGGGGGCGGAACTCCGCTAGGCTCACATATGCTCTGTTGCACTTACCCTATGCTCTATCCATTCCGAAATTGACTCGACTTCTCCAGGTGTTCCTCTAGGTTATATCGAATTTCCGTACAAACAAAAAAACAGACAGACAGACAGACAGACAGACAGACAGACAGACAGACAGAGCGCTTTACATATAGAAAGAATTTTCTCCCAAGTCAAAGCATTGCTTTGTAATGACTCCACGGTAGGGCCGTGCACAACGCAATTGGCTACAATGACCAAGAGAAAATCAATAGGAAGCTTGCCTAGGACAGTAAATGGAAGAGTTCCGCATCTCCAAGCATCTTTGTCGTTCGATGAAATGGAATCACGTTTTAAGGCGATTCATAAGTAACCAGTCACTTTATAATTAATGACTCTATCGAGAGATATTTTAGGTTTTTGTTCCGGTAGCCTGCGCTTGCCTTGTAAGAGGAGAGTGGTGTCGCGCAAAAATCACGAAGCTCAACGGGGATTCGAGGTATGTTTGGGGATCAACTGAAGGGTGTAGGGTGCATGCATTGTAAAAGTGTTCGATGAGGAGAGCAAACATGTGCCGTTTTCGCGGCCAGTGAGAAATTCGTCCTCGAAAATGCCTCTGCGTTTCGGTTCTGCACCCGAATCAACAACTTGAAAGTTTTCGATTTGTTTTTCCGGAAAAGTTAAGGGGGAGCTAGATAAGCATAGGGTCTATCAACATCCTCAGAAAGGAAATCGACGGTGATGATTTTCGCCAGAGATGTTCGGCTGGGCGTATTCGCCAACACAATGTCCCCACTGTATGACCTTCGGAGCTCTTACCTCAACTTCCCTGCATCGACGGACCAGCTCTTGCATAAATTCATCGATTTAATAAACTAATCGCAAATTCGGCACACATGACAGCAATAGTAAAAGATGGGCCGAACCGGGATTCGAACCCGGGACCTCTCGCACCCGAAGCGAGAATCATACCCCTAGACCATCCGGCCACGCTCTCCTTGCAAAGCCAGCGGTAGGAGAACTTTTGTTTTTCTACTGATATCATGTCGATTCCGATGATGCTAGCACATTATCAGTTAGTAAGCATTATTCCCTCTCCTCCTATGAGCATTACGAAGCTCTCAGCCGAATCGTGACTCTAACCTAAGACCTCCTGCGATTGAAGCGCGAATACTGCACGTCACAGTGATTAGGAGAACAAAATAAGTGAGGGATTCATGTTCGCTCTGAAGTTTCGTTGGTATTTTACGGATTTAAAGAATCTTGGTGAGTCTAACTGCGATATCATCTTAAGAGCGTACGTCCTTGAGCATACCTTTGAAACAAACTGGTCAAACTGGTTGCCTTAAAAGTTGACATTTACTAACATCTTCGATTTTTCGGAAATGGTGTGAGTAAAGTCATAGCTGTATATTCATACAGCCTCAGCCTTCATACTTCCATGCTTTAGCAGCTAACATTAAGGAAGGCAAACTGTCTGCCTTTAATTTGACGGAGAGCTCTTTAGGAATTTGGAAATGTAGGCCTGGTGGGAGGGATTGAAATAAATAAATAGATGCTATAAAATCGGAAGAAGGCCTTTCTACGATAATTGTTTATGAGTGGTGAAGTTTCGTAGCGACTTATAATCCTTTTGAAAAATAGCGATCAAGAAGGAGTCGTAGAGAACAAGCGAAAGGAGGTCGTCGTCGTTACCGTTGAAATTGAAGGTGTAGGAAAGGTCTAAAAAATGGGGGTAACGACCGCTTATCACTTTTTATCACACCAACTTGAGGAAGTTATCATTCATTTACTTTGCTAATGTTTCTTCCGCTGTTGCAGTGTTGACTTCCTCCTATGTTCTTTGCCATATTGTTTCAAATCTAGTCACTAAGTTGGGTTCCCGATGATTCATAAGTCTTGCTACAAGTTTTCTCTGCTTCTCTTTGCCCGGTCGTCATTATATATCGTCCATTTTGGAGTTTTTAGAAACATGGTTCATAAAGGGCTCGATTATGGTAAGGGACCCTTGGCTGAATGAAGCTTCAGAAACCGGTTCGAGACCTATTTCGTTCTAAGCATTTGTAATATTTAATTCCAAAGTGCAATCATGCTTACCTGGAGTGATGGGCAAAGAAGTATGATCGCTCAGAGCCACTGGGAATGAAGCATCGTATTGATACTTGCAGCTTGTCAGTAAGGATCCTGCTGCCAACATGAGTGGTCTCAAAAAGAGTTTATATGCATTAGCACTCGCTTTACCCTGATGTAAAATGCAAGAAAGTAGCCTTTTTCAGTGCCCTTGTTGAGTTAGTGGATTACGGTACCGAAGTATTTTCGGATCTTCTAAGTGTGCGCCCACTACTTGCTAAGTTTGGTCGTATTCCTCCCATGGCATTGAAGTGTCGAATAAAAGGTAATGATTTAATCTCAGAAAAATATTGCTTGTTCGTTGCTAAAAAAACCTGCCATCTCAGATAACTAGAGTTGCCCCCTGCGGTTTCACATGAGTTCACTCGCGCGACCCTGAGAATTTTTGCACTGTCTTCTTAGCCTCGGTTGTGGAATTTCTAAACGTTTAATTTTTCTCATTACCCTCATCCTAATGTGATTCAGTTTTCTTTCACTCCAACTCTCACCTTAATCTCATTGCGTGACCCCTTTCCTGAATGTTCATTTTATCACCAGTTTTCTTAAACTCTCGCTCTCCTTTATGCAAAAGGATTTTTGAAAATTCTTCACATCACCGTGTTCGGCTTATATTTAAGATGTTTATATCAATGATCTTAATGCGAAGAAGCTGGAAGATTTTCACAAGATAATAGAGGAATGTAAAGGACTCGTGAGAGTTCAACTTCTTACAGTTACAGAGCCGTTTATGGTAGGTTCAACTATAGCAGCCATACTTTACCTGATTTTAATCACATTGCAATTTCGCCCAAACAGATCTTGCGAAATGAAAAAAGTGCGTTGGACATAGACCTTTATGGACCTACACGCTGTTCGGCTCGTCACTGACCTGAGTACTGAGAAATGACATGGACAGGGACAGAGAGACATGGCGGAAGCTGAGACTCGGGGAATTGCACATATTTGTTGGTTAACGTGGAGGGCATATTCGAGAGAGAAGGGGTCAGGCTGGATTAGGATTCGATTTGAGTTGAAAAGATCAATTCTGATCCGTTATGTTCGGCCCTAGCTAGAAAATTGGGAAATCTCGTGACATGTTACTACATATCTGCGAGCCATTTTCTCAACTTCCCACAGGAGCGTTTATGGAGCACGGATAAATATAGGTACCGAGAACATCATGCCATTTTAGTCGGGGGTATAACCTACCACCAAAAACTGCTTCTGCTAAAGGAAATCTCCTTCGTTGCAGCTAGCTTTCCTGGCTTAGCGGATATGCTACTTTCCTGTAAGGTAGAGAATGTTCACATAGGCTGTCTCTTCCTTAGAATTACCACATCCAGCCGTGAGAAAAAATTGTCATTGCTAACCATAGACTGCTTATTTAGGCTCATTCATGCACTCATGTCGAGCCTGTCGATAAATACTATTTTGTTCAGATTAATATTTTTCATCCTACTTTGGAAGGCGAAAATATCGGTGAACTTTTCTATACACCAACTGACAATGAGAATCACACTCTAGCCAAAGAGCGACGCTGGATCGATCATATAAGAAGACAGGTGAGAAGGAATGACGAGTTGTTATCTCTTCCTTCCCTTCCAACCATTTCTTTGTCTCAGAACTGTGAAGACGACGATTACTTTGAAACAAATGAAGAGTGAGTCTGTCGGATATGGAACATGAACGGTTCCACCAAGAATTTATGCTGGTTTTAAGTTCGGAGTATGAGCTTGAAAATGCTACCGAGCAAACTTATGTTCGGAGATTTGGACGTTCTCAGAAGCTTGGATGCGCTAGCTTCGATGAGCTATTCGTTGGATACATCGAAAACGCTCGACTGATTTACCTTCAATCTAAATGGATGATTAATCGACGAGAAGCAATAGAGAAGTCGATTGCAGATCAGGTAACAGTACAGTACTCTGCTCACGTACAGTAGAATACACAGTTCTGCATGGTAGCAAATTCTGGGCGGAGACAAAAGGACATTCTGTTTGCTTCAACTGTTTGTTACATTGAAAGGGTAGGTAACGAGTGTGTAACGGATGACCATCGTGTGATTGGGGAGCTCTCTGTCACTCTCGAAAATGAATCAAACTTTATTCGATGCCTCTACCTCAATAGGGTAGATGGCTCGGAGTCAGTCATATCTGAGGGAGTGGAAAAACCAATCGAACTCTGACCTATCCTCAACTAATCAAGACGTCCCCGTTTGAGAACAAACGAGTCTTATTGGTTGCTTGCTGGAAATTTATCCCTTTTTGTGTCGTGTGTGTTCGGTACACAGTTGCTATGTATGTGCAAGTTTTATTAGGCAAGCAACAGGAACTGTATTAGCAGTGTACGAGTTTTTATATCCAGCTAATGCGGGTGGCGGTCAAACGGGCACAATTAATCTATGGAGCTACCAAAGGTCAAAGGGGTTGGTAAATAGTGTGGGCTTATAGGGATGAAGGGTTGCGCAGAGCGAAACACTCCGCGCGCCCCTCTTTACATGTGAAGTGTAGGCTTCAAAAAACACAAACATGGTGAAGTAAACATCAAGTTCCCATCGGTTAATAGTAACGTAGACGTCATGTGAACAATAAATTGATTAAAGAGCAACAGCAGTGAAAGTTAGTTAGTAGAGAATCACATAATCGCAGTTATTCAATATCTGTATCTTGAATATCTGAATACATTATGTGTGGCGTTTCGTGATGATCGTCTCGAGCCCATTGAGAAGGGAAATGAGTAGAAAATGAAGCTTTAATGTTATCTTCTTTCAATAGCAGTTTTGAATAAGCCCTAGATGAGCATAAAAGAAAATTGTGCGGCATTCCGCAGCTCTGGCACGTGATGCAGCAGTCGTTCTGGTGAGCGTTTTTTTGACATTTTGTGCAGATGCCTAATTGGGATGCTCGAACAGCTTTCGAGACTGGGTCGTAAGTAGTTTAGGACACTGTGCCAAAATGTGTGCGTCGGTGGTTCAGTGGTAGAATGCTCTCCTGCGACGCGGGCGGCCCGGGTTCGATTCTCGGCCGATGCACCAAAAATTGTACCCGTTTGGGAACAAGCGAAACCTATTTGTTGCTCGCTGAGAATTTACCCCTTTTGGGTCGTGTGTGTGGCCGGTACTCGGTGGCTATGTACAAGTTTTATTAAGCAAGCACCAGAAGCTCCGTATCTCCGGTGTACGGGTCTTTATACCCAGCTGATACGGGTGGCGAATATAACGGGGTTATCAAAGGGTCAAACGGTCACAATTAATCTATGGGGCTAACAACGATCAAAAGGGATGGTAAACAGTGTGGGCTTATTAAGGCTGAAGGTTCGCGCAGAGCGAGACAAGAGATAAATATACCTTTATTCGTCTGAACCATACGGGAAGGATTGTTAAGATCGCGTTTTTTTTGTTATTTTTGGTATTAAATCTTGTAGTCATGTTAGACTTATACATACCCAAGGCTTTGACCGCCTTCTCTGTGAAGAACTCCTAGGTGCAGCCGAGCAACCTGGTCAGACACGATGCAAATTTTTAAGCATACTTCGTCGTGTGAAACAAATTGAGAACTTTTTTGAACATTTTATTTGGTTGCTCGACTGATTTACAAACAAGTCAAATAATCACAACCCTGAACACCTGCAACGAGGAGAAGGGAATGAGAACTGTCTCGAGAGCATCACCTTTGTTAGTCCCCGAGGAGACTAAAGGGTGAACATTGTCTGGAAAATTTTCAAAACACGATAAATTCACTTTTCATGCAGTGGATCGACCTTCCGAAATTGCCGTCAGAATGGTTTGATGTGAATGCAGCTTGTGCAGTGCATCTGGATGGTTCCTATTATCGGGCATGTATCACTACTATTCTATCGGATTCAATAGAGTTGTTCTTAATTGATCATGGAAGACATACATCAATGGATAAACAACTGGGACATCTACGTGTGCTGCCTTCTACTGATCTTTTCGTCGAGCCTCCCATGGTCAGTCTACTCCTGAAATTCCCCATGATATACAGTGTTTTGGCTTCATTCCCTATAACCTTTTGCTAGCACTAACACTGTCTTTCTTTAGATTGTGGTTGTTGCGCTCGGCAACATCTCAGAGTTATTTCCTCATCCATCCTGCACTTCTGAACTGAAAGAAGTCCTGACATCTGGGACTCAGGTCCAGTTCCATCCAGAGAAACGACACAAGAGGGTATCAAGTTTCCAAGATCCAACTATCTGCAGTCATGACTACTCGAAAAGGTACTGAATTCCTCGTTGCAGATACCTTCAAGAGGTAAATTAATCGTCGTTGTATCCTGCTTGGACGTCGAACAATATCTTTGGCACAGGTAGGTTTTCTGCCGAACCAATGACTAATTAGGGCCTACTACCTGAATTCAATGAGTTTTCATCACCGAAGCCTAACAAAAGGGTGTAGTCTCAAAATCAGTCTAAACTTTTTTTTTGGTTTTTTTTTGGCAGCGGGTGTCACACCAAATCTCAGATGATGAGATGGCCTACTTGGCTAAGATTTCGACGTTCTTCGGACCCATTTTTTTCTTTGATTTCCAATCACAATCTGACTACTCCAATGCTGCTCTACTACTACTAGACCGCCTTCCCCCATTCAGGCTTCACCAGACTGGCATTCAAATACAGTGCCGTGAACTCGTACCATATCAACCAGAAGATCCCTGGCATGAACTTCGTCCTCCACCAGACACAAAATATGTTCATCGGCTACAGTGCCCATCCGTGCTTCTACGTGGCAAGCTCGAACTCTCACCTATAAATCCAGATGAATACACCGAAAGGATACCAGCCTGCCACACCAAATGACCTATTCCATTCTACAGTTTCCACGACTGTTCGTTCACTCCGATCAAAAATAATTCCAAATGAATTAAATACTTAAAAGCGTTTAGAATGTGTACCTAAAATAACGATAGCAAGATTTCAAGAATAAAACTTACATTCTCACACTTCTGCTCTCAATGAACTTGGTTTACGCCTCAAGTCAGATGAACGGATTTTACAACTTTTATTAAATTATGCTGATAAATCCAACATACTAGCGTATCCATATAACACTATTAAGCTTGACTTTCACAGATGATACACGTGAGTTAGAACCCTATTCTTATTGCACGAGAAAACCAGTTTCCAGATCCGAACAAATACACATAAGCGAGGGTAAAACAAAGCCAAAATCAAAAGCATTGGTTGACCTAAAAGCCACGCAACCCTAGCCCCTTACATAAAAAAAGTATAACCATAATTCAATTGACATTTTTCTTGTAAGTTCCTCACTCAAAATACATTGCACCGATTGCGCAGTGAAACAAAGGAACCGTTGTATTCTAACGCAAAGTAGGGGGTCTGAATTCACGTCAGAGGCTGAGAAAAGAAAAGAAAAGATAAGATAAGAAAAAACCAGGAAAGAGGATAATTGGTGGTTGCCGGTTTTCCATATTAGGTTTCCCAGCAATAACATTACGAAATGGCAGCGATCACTTTAATCACTGCCTTTGACTGGGGTCCAGCAAAAATGGGGACCAGGCTCAAATATCTATTAATCACTGCTTTAATTATGCTTCTTGTTGGTCACTGATTTTGAAACCCGCTTTTACTCCTATTGACTTCGCACAATGACCAAATTTTAGGGTTGATGCTTTCTATTGTTGGATGGTTCCATTCAGACAACAATTTAAGAAGGCACCCATGCACATAAGCCATAGCAAAGGGGGTGGGAAAGAGAAAAAGACTGTCTTGACCTCACAACCAATTATTGCAAATTGAATTAGCCTAGCTATTAGAACTTCAGGTTGATGACTTCCAAACGAAAATATCATGCCCATAATCCATAATACTTCATCCCGATGAACGCCGACGCAATACAGCATGCCGTAGACTTGACACAATCGCATCTTCTCCTATACTCCTTCTGAGAGCGTCTTCGTCAACTTCTGTTTCAAGTCTTGGCAACAGTATATTGGTAATCCTGTCGAGCACAACGGACCACTTCTTTGGATCGACCATTTTTAAATGATTACTTCCATTCTAAAAGGTTTTAGTAAATGAAACAAAGTGGATTTTTATGACAACTAAACACCCACTTCTATGACTCCCAAGAGGATGGCAGCCGTAGCCATTATCCTCGAATTCTCTTCTGTTACAAACTTCACAAATCTCCACAGCGCTTTTGATGTAAAAAGACTCATCCTTTGACTTGCTGATCCTAAGCAGAAAAGATAATTCAGGCATTCTTCTAGCTGGAATATGGTAGCCGTTGTAGGCAAAAGATTTGCAATGTAATCCAAATCCAAAAGGGATGAATCCGGGTCACCGATTACTGGCAATTTCTTTGGACAGACTACTCGGCAACTTTGAAAAAGACCTCGACCTCTACCTGGCTGCTTATCTAGGACAAATCTTTTGCTTCCGATGGGTAGCAATTACTGGGAGCTGTTCATACACATTGAACATGATTGCCGTAAAAACACTATTCAGCATGAAGTTCAATTTCACGAAAGAATATGTTCTAAATTTTGATTGTATTGATGATGGTTCGTGCTCAAAAACTCAACAAATTCTTGTGAAAGATAAACGGAGTACGTGACACCACCGAAAATCAAGAATCGCCAGGTTTAGCCACTTAAACTTAATAATAAAATAACTAACCGATCACATGGAGGTGGATGAAGAGCTTTATAAAACTCGTTTCAGGAATTAGAGCGAATCTTCGATCCTCGATTTCCGCCAAGCGCGTTGCATAAGCTTTGCTGAAAGCGAGAACCCTTGCAAATTAGAACGACTATGAATATAGTTACAAGCGTAACCTGACAAGCGTAAGAGTAATTCGATACAAATGGAAGGTGCGAATCTTTGTACCACCATTGTATGGATGGGAAGTAAGTGGAAAATACATGCCCCTACCAACTGGTCAGAAATTTTACAACGACCTATTTGAATAAGCATAAAAATGAACCATGTCATATCGAGTAGTTCAACAGATCAGGTTGGGAACAATATTCTTACAATCACAAAAACAGCATATCAAATCCTTCAGGGCAATATCATCCATTACTAAGAATGAAGTCCACAATGAGCGGTTATATTTTCTGACGTACCTTCAATTGAATAGGCCTAAATGAGTTGGCTATCGTTACTGTTTGTAGAGAAAAACCCATTACCACACCACAAAATTCGGATACATCATTGAAAGCGAGTGAAGCTAATAGACGCCTCGATTACTAACATAAGTCATTCAACAACGCAAACGATCGCAATGTCGTCCCGGTTCAACCCTGGGCCATCCTCCGAATTTAGGAGTCAATCGTTCAACAACAACACCGTTAAATAGCGATAGTGAAAGCCAAAATACGACGCCCCTATTTGTGTAACATAATCTGTTTATCCAAAACTTTGCTAACCTACCATTTCTCCTCGTTTAGTGATATCAACTGTGATGTTCTTAGAATCTTTCCCATCAGCACAGCCTCAAATTGTTGAACATTCCCGCAAATAAGCGTCAAGATCCGGCTGATTACGACGGCCAAAGAAGGATCGCGCTCAACGACTCCCTACAATACTGATGTTTTTTGAGTATTTTGGCAGTAAAAAGGCGAGCGTGGAGTATGCGCAACGTCCTTAGAAAAGCCTGGACTGACATGGATAGAGTTTGTTCAAAATCACTTTATCCGATTTTTCTCATGTGCTCACGTATCAGAACGAACGTACCGTTTTTCAGTTAGTGGTACTGCACGGATATCTGGCATTACTACTGAAGAAGTAGACGGCGGAAAATTGGAAGTTCAACGAGGGACATAAAAATCTTTCCTTGATTTTTATTCGTGTTAGACCGAGAGAAATCTTCATTTAATCCCTGTGATGTGAGCCCTACACAGATTGTACCTGATGATTGTAAAAATGTTCCTTCAAATGCCCGCAAGCAACAAAATTTTACATTCCTGCGTTCAGGGCTTGAGCCATGGCCACATTGGTGATATTAAACGCCCGGATTATATCTCTCGACTCCCCGACGAATGTCGCGTTGTGTGAACTCTGTATATAACCATAATCGATTCGGCTACATAATTGAGCCTTTCCCCAAAAAGAATGAATTGATCACAGCAGTATCGAAGCTTTTGCACGTTACGGAACCGTATGGAAATCGTTTCCTATTAGGTGTTGAAGCGGTGCGTTACCTAACTGCTGGAATGGAAAAGGAAAAGGAAATCATAATGGAAAAGTTCCATGATGGGCCTTAACATCGAACCCCCCTCCCCCCTTGAGAGAAATTGCAACTCTCCATTAGAACTGAAGCTTTGATAGGGGGCATTTGTAGTAAGAGAACATTGAGCCTCATAGCAGTTATCGCATCAGCCTATTAAGTGGCATGAAAGAGGGGCTACCTGATTCTCGTGAGCCCTAAATATTTCACCGTCTCAGCATTAAATGGGTAGCTCATTTTAAAAGGATTAATAATCATGACGAGGTAGAAGCATGCGTACAATGGTAAAAACGAGAAGCTCGAAAAGAATCGTTTTCGAGTTACCACAACACAGTGCATTAGCACCTTGTCCCTGTTCTTTTTTTAGAAAAAAAAANAAAAAAAAACAAAGTAGTTAGTGTAAAGGGATGAAAATAGTTTAAACTTACCATGTAAGACTCGATTGTAATAATGAAGCCATAATATCTGAGGTCGCCCTCTGGCAATTGCAAAGTTTTATCGCCATATCTACAAATTATAAAAGAAGTTGAAGAACTTCACTTGAACGTGAGTTACTCACCCAACAACTTCTTTTCCATTGAGAAGCATGCACAGGAAACCGGAAACGGTCGCGATTTCGTGCAAGGAGGCTGTTTTCTTCGATTCCACAGTTACCTTTTCCACGATTGTACGCTTCGTCAAAGCACGCAAGACTTTCTGGGAAGCACATCAATAGATTAGGAGGTATAAGGTTGCGCATGCGGTCAGTCCGAAAACACACACCTGATCTTTGTTCTCTTCTACACGTTTTTTCGCCAAATCGTAATCTTCCGCAAGTTTCATTTGTTCAACGTAAAAATCTTCGAAAGACTTTGACGACTTTTCTGTGTTTTCGAGCTGTGTAAAAGGCTGAAATAAGAAGAGTGGAGTTCGCGTGAAGTCATGGCGAAACTGTAAATTTAATCATAAAAGCTCCTTTACCCAAACAAGACTGGAAAGCGACAACAGCTTTCAAAATATTTTGAAATCAAACGAGAAAACTGAATTTCGAGCATCGGATTTGCTCGTGCCAGTTATGTGTTTAGGCACTCTTAGCCATTTGAACAGAATACCTGCTATGTTCGAGTTGTTCTGATATGTTGTAAATCTACTTGGTTTTACCGTCATCTGTAAATTTCACTATTTTTTTGTGGAATTTATCCGTCACTAGTATTGGTACACATCAATCGATTGCAGCTCCTAGCTTTCACGAATTCATGATTTAAATCGATACGTTCGTATTCGTATTTGTTAAGAAAATCCAACAAGTCCACGCTCCCACAACTTCCAAACAACCCCAGCTCTTCTTGCCCGCACAGCCTGCGACAGAAGTACCCGTCAAGAAGGATTACATACATATCGATCAACTCAGGGCCCTACCTGTACTCTTCTTACCCCAGGGGGATTTTACGAGAATGCTGATAAGACAGAATGAACTACAAAGCCATAGCACTGCAATTCTTTCGTCTTTTCCTCGACTATCCAAGTTAAATAATAAGTACCTTGTCCTTTCCTCAATTTCTCGACTGTTCTCTGCGGTATTCAGAAGTATGGTTCGACATTATTATAACACTGCTAGTTTAAAGTACATCACATAGACATTGAAAAATCTGATGGACTAACCTTGATGGGCTCTTCGCTCTTTTCAGGTAGGGCCGTATTCTTATTTTCATCCTTATTTCTTTCAGGAACGACATTCTGGTTATTGGAGTCAATCTTTGGTATTTCACCATTGCTCAACGCATGTGTCGCTGACGACTTCCTAAACGCAACATTTTCTACTGGAAATAGTCTAAATAGTTTCAAACGTACTTCATAAAAGCAAGAGGTGTGGATGTTAACGTCCCCAGTCCAAATGAAGGTCGCGCACCATTGTAGTTGTCCAAATGATTCGCTTTCGATAACGCCTCGGATACAGTTGTAAGAGGACTCCCAGTGAATTCGAAACTTTTTTCATTTGCCGAAGACGACGAAAGCAAAGATACATTACCGCTCATGGGCGTTAGAAGTGATAGCGATGTTCCTCTCATTGGTATATTGGCACTCGAAAGTGAGCTGCAAGTGGCACGTACACTTTTAAAGCCTTAGAATTCTGTACAACATAAAAAATTGGTTAGGATTGTGATGTATATAATACTAGGAGGCAAACCATTTAAAAATTGCACAAAAACGATTTTACGGTGGAACGGATCCGGCAAATTTCAGGACATCTACCTCCGAGTGGATTTCCAAAAGCACGCAGTAACACAGCTCAGTCAAGTAGAAACGAATTCTTCCCACACCCCTTCACAAATTATTCAAAAAGGCGAATCAATACAACACTAGTCTGCCAGCATCACTAAGTCGGAAGCTATAAATCATCAGAAACTATCCCCTGGGACGTGATTCATCCACACTAAAAATCCGTAACAATCGCCGTCACAAATTGTGCCTACAGAACTGTTGCATTCGACATTTGTTCATTCGCAAAGGGGAGTTCGAGAAATAAAGCCTGGAACCATTGGGATGCATAGCAAAAGCACATTACAGTAGAAGCTGGATTATTCTTCTTATGTGAAGCAGATTGTGGAACTGCTTGAGCTTACTCATTAATATCACGGCAAGGAGGTGGAAAAGATGCGAGTGGTTAGCACAGTTTTACAGCGGAGGGTGGTGAAATACCTATGCACAGATTTCAACAGCACAAAGCAAAATGGCGGACATCGATTAACGCTTTCCTGAAGAAGCCCCACATTTAACACTACTCGAAACTGGAATAGCACTTACAAATGATGAAACTAGTCTACACAACGACCGAATGAAGTATCTGTCGTACAGCACGGTCCCCTTTCATAGTCTATATTAGTTATCATTCGACCTAATTGTAAGAAAGGTTTTGTTCGGCTGGACGGAACATCAACGAAAATTGTTCACCTTTCATCGGTGATTAAGTATCAAAGAAATATTCAATTTAGCTTGATTCATTAGTTCCATTGAAAACTGACCTTTGCGACAAGGCTGGGCCACCACTCTCAGAAAATGAAGGGAATACTGTTTTTGGAGGTTGAGCGCTTCTCTGAACTACTGGTTGTGGTGATTTTGGAGTAAGAAGCACGCAACTGGGGTCTATTCTGAAATTATGTTGTTTTTTTTTNTTTTTTTTTCAAACAAACAAGTCTGAAAACAAAACTAGCCCCTTCAACACCTCATCTTCCTCAAAGTTCGAGGAACCAGCTTTTAAAATCAGACATAGGAACACATCTTCTAGATTTTTTGCTAGCCGATCCGCTTCCATCAAGCGATAAACTTTAGCTTTAATATGAGGACCTCCGCAGAAGAGGAACGCCTTCGAGAAACCCTAGGGAGGCCCTAACAATCTTCTGTATTGGCTTTCATGCTTTATGCCACGTTAGAAGACGTTTCAAAGACGGTATAGAACAGATGGGAACACACTCCCTTACAAATTTGAAACATAATTAAATCTCCAAGTTACACCTTGCCACATTACTTGGAGGATTTATTGATACACCATTGTGCGCCTGCTGCGAATGAATAAGTGCGTTTTTGATGTAGTAATTTGCAATCTCCTCAATAGCTTCTGCTTCATTGTTGTGAGAAAATTGCGTTGCCTGGAAAATAGAGAAAACGACCATCAATAACGCACAACAAATGGGAATTCCACATAAAAAGTCAAAAATTAATTATGAATCACGTATCGAAGAAAACGACATTGTGGCATTCCCTAACCTCAGTTGCAGGCGTGAAGCTACCCTTCCATGCGTCATCAGTGTGTCGACTTATAAACCTTGACTCCTTGTGTCGTAAAGCGGCGCTCGATTCCCGTAACTTCCTTGAAATTAAAGTGTGCACAGCAGCTGACCTGTAATGTGCACTTTTTGAAAAGTCTCCAGAGCAAGCAATAATTCCTACATGCCCTCTGGAAAACGCAAAGCGCTGCGCTACATCTTAGGGTCCCACAAAGGATGGGGGATGGACTTTTTTTGGGCGGTGGCCAGACCCATTCGCATGATAAATGCTTGCATTCGACTTCAATCAAGAACCGCAGAGGTATTTTCAATGCAATGGCCAGCCGATTTTACCCTTCCGGACTGGTCTGATACCATTCAGTTGACCCCGGGGCTGGTTGGCCTGGGCGGGTATTAATTTGAGATTCGATCCACAGCACATTTGTGTAATAGTGCGCCCCTTGGCACTACGCCACCACCGCCCACACTAATCGAAGGTGACAAATTCACTCAATTTCTCTCTAGCTTTGTGTGAAAGACGAAACTCCTGCCGTATTAGGATGCGTCCATGTTAGTAGAGGCATTAAAGGCGTATATCTGTCTGATGTACAGTACTTTTATGCTTTCAAGCAAGTCCGTTACTGACCTAATGACTAAAGATATTCAATAGTTCAGTTGGTCCGGCGAATTTCGATTCGCGATTTGATTCATACCCATACACGCGATAACGGCAAAAAGTGACATTTCTCCTCCACCTCCTTCACCGCCCCAACGTGGTAATACAGCTGCATAGGTCAAATACATATTTGAAAGAATCAGCCACAGCGACATATGAGTGGCGTTTAACAAAAGGTTGACTCACGTTGAGCACATTTCCAGCGACTGACGCATGCTAATAACTTGAGCATTATTTCTGGACTTTAAAATACTTTCGCATCATTGCGTCAAACAGCCAGCACACGGTGAGACACATTTGTGACACTTCCGCCGAGATTTTTTGTATTTCGAAATAGTCAAGCTGAAGAGCGAGTGTTTCATCTCTATCGAGTTTGAAGTCAGTCAACTCGCGGATCGCGGATTTTTGCCATTTGGCAGGTGGAAGTCCTCATTCATTTTTATCATACTGAGTAAATATTGAACTATAACGATGAAGAACGGAGGCCATACTTTCATAGCTCGAATCAACAGTGAAAAGAGTTTTCAATCGATTGAAGTGGCCAGCCCTAGCTTCGGAAGAATGGAACTTATACCTTTCAGGCTTGACGATTCCTCAAATACACTAAGGCAACACTGAGGTGTGGGTGCCCCATATCCCACACAATGGTAATTTGGTTGCGACTGTGAATTTGACTATGCATAACCTTTATTTATCCTAACCTTGACGAAAAAGTCTTACGTCTGACGGTGTTATGCAGTCTCCATTAACTGCCGATAAACCTGACAGGTTGTCTTATGCAGCGCATTTCTATAGTTAACCAAACTTTCTATTGTTGAGTAAATGCAGAGCATGAAACCTAGCTTCCCAGTATAGCGCCTATTACAACAAGACAGTAAAAAACAGTCATAGCCTATTCTTGACTTATACTCCTAATACACTTGTCGACGCGGGAATGTAACCAAAGATGTTCATGCTTTTGATCAAAGGCACTCAATGCTCAGGCATGCAACAATCCTGGAAAATATGAAGAGCAAAAGTAGAATGAAAAAAATTCCAACCTCATTTTTTCCAATGGTAGCACTGTTTTGAATTGCATCTTCTTGAAAAGTAAATCTTCGTGTCCACCGTAACTTCCATCACCTTCACAGTCCTTATCCGTTATACCTAGTCTGAAGCATTCAAAAATAAATCTGATTCAGTTGAGTCACGAAGCAATAAAACGAAACTCACGTGGGCATGGCTAACGCATAGAGCAGCACGAGTGAGCTTTAACAATCAGGCAATTCAACTATGATGTTCTGCTTATGTAGGGCGCTTTATGTGCTCTAAAAAGTTTTTTCTGCTACAGATAACTCGTCCGCAGCAGCGTTCCCTTCAACTTCCGCCTGCAGTTAGACATTGTTCAAACGGGAAACGCAGGCGACGAGAACATCAGAGGCCGAGATGTGCTGCGACGAAGCTTTGCACCCGCGTGCTATTCGCGACTAATTCTTCTGCGTTTCTTGTTTGCCGCAGTAATTATTATATGTAATTTGTGCCCTTTATGTTGTCTATTGTCAATTCAGGCTCCAGCCCCAATACAGGGCAGCCTCAGTTCATGGCGTCTCGGAAATCAGTTGATAAGATATGTGCAAACTTAGCCACCAAAACAACAAAGCCAAAGAAACAGAAAACATCTAGAAGTGAGCTTCTTCTCGAATCTTACAAATTGTAATGCCTTGGGAGGGTATATGAGCGTGATTGTTTAGAAAGGCCGGCTGTAGATGAAGAAGAACTAATAGAGGAAGATTCTCATGAAAAGCCAGACTCGGATGAAGTTTGTTTTCTCGACAACTTTCTTGGTCTTCCAAGCTTACTATTCATAACTTTGAAGTGATTCAATTGATTTGGAATTTTTAGGATTTCGAAGAACCACAATCATCTGGAGAGACAACTTCTGATATTGAATTAAGCGACAATGACATAGAAATCGAGGAACTTCACAGTGTTCAACCGGGAACGTCGAAGGCGGTTGCTGCAGCGTTTGAAGTGGTACGTTCTGATACAGTCTTATGAAGGTTTCGGTCGGTCAATGCATCCGCTTGGTCTAGGCCATCTCTTTAGTCCTCATACACAGCAACATAGAACGGTTTGTTGTGTTATTAAGGCTTCCTACAGTTCTCTAACTCTCCATCCGTGTTCCTTTTGTTCTACTGGATAGGTTCGGTTGTCAGGCGACTATCAGGCTGGAAAACTTGTTCGGCCCTCGAGAGGAACCCCAGCAATCAAGCGCAGCATGCCAGCTCCAACGCTACGGATCTGAAGCCTCTGAATCTTCTAGTTTATGACCTTGTCAGAGCCAAGTGAACTGCTGCCCCCAAACTCATCGTTCCTAATGTATCAGCGAAAATATTATTTGCGAATCAATCGTCGTATCCTTCCTTTACCTCTTCGCCTAAAAGTGTGTTCCTTTGAGTTTTACACCACCTCTAAATTCCATAGTTTTCCCACGCCTTCTATATCACGGATTGTTCGTTTTTGGTGAGAAACTCTCTCGATTCGAACTAAATATACATAGCAAAGCTATTTACATGTCTTTGCTTTCTGTTGTAAGTTTTAAAGAAGTTCGGTTATCGGTTCGAACTTGTTTTGTTTGTCGTTTTCGTATGGTGTTCTAGACTGCGAATGCAACTCCAACACCACCTTCCCCTTTTTTAAACATTGACAAGACGATGACAGATCTTTGTTTGCTGAAGACATGCTCGCACTTGGTGAACTAGTACTGCCATGTTCCCTGTTCTTTCTCTCCGATTCCTTATAGCCTTCAACATCTTTCTAAAGTCGTGGTTGAAAAGCTTTTCAAGCCAATGTTGAAATCACGCAATTCAGCTCTGATCCATTTTCTTTTGCAGGCTGCAAACCTGCCAAAACCTAAGAAAGTTAACAAGAAAAGCAGAGGTTTTTCGCCGTTGCTGGATCTACTTGATGTGGCTCCAGTAACAACCACCAATTTCTGCACTAGTGGAGGTAAGCTCGACTTTTGTAGTTTGCCAGTCTCTTTTTTGGTCATATAATAATATAGGGTGTTTTTACTTTGCAAATCTTCAGCTATATCTTTAATTCTCCCTTCCCAAGTAATCTCTCCTATTTTAGGAACACCTTACCTGTCATATAATGAAGAGTCGTGGAATCCAATGTTTTTGTATCGGTTGCCCTCTGATATTGTCTTGTCCACTATTCGCGAACACGGCACTGAAGGGCTAGGGCGTGCTGAGGTTGGTAATATCATCGTCATTTGGCATTATATTTTACATCTAATGATCCTCAGATTGGAAAGAAAATTGGCATGGATACCTCAGCGAAAGCAGGGAATCGACGAGTTTCATCCTACATCCTCACAGCTTGTAATGAACATCCCGATCATGTGGGGCAATTCCAAAAAATGGAAGGAAAAGTTCGATGTATCAAGTAAGCTCCAGTATCCTCACAGAAAAATTGCGTCGAACTTTATGGATCTCTCCCTCTCAGGTACTTCTGGAAAGCGGAAAGTGAACCTGAGCAGTTCAGAAAGTTGTTTAACGACTTTGAGAAATTGTGTGGAGGGCCTTGCCCATTCAAACTTGGCCAAGTAGTTAAATTCCCGGACAGCAACCTGAGTAAGTTCTTCGTCTCATCTGTAGCTGTTTTTGTCCGTCCTTTTTTCATTTCTGTCTACCTTTCTGTTTAATGCTTTTGCAAAATTCGGCGGTAGTTGAACAGCCGCGTTCGTGGGCCGGGTCAAGCTAGTCATTGTGGATTATGGGTCAGTATTCAAGAAATCGTTCCAAAAAAAAAAGATATACGAAGAAAAAGCGCTATTTTTGCACAAAGATCGGCGATGCCCAAATATATGCTAGAAAATTTGACCATCGGGGAATAATGCAGAGAACGAGGTACTTGATGTATTCTGCTTATTTAAATCATGCAAAGAGCTATTACAGTGAGACAGGGTGTTCCCATGCGTGGAGTGGATGTTATCATAAACTTAGTTGTCCGAAATATAAAAATTGTTGATCATATTATGTATTCAAGCATAAGTCTGCGTCAAAGCGCGCCTACAATGAATGCAACCACATTTTCCTTGTGGGGCATTTCTTCAAAGGTACTCCATAATGTTAAAAAAGCTGGCAGACGTAGAAAAAGCCCACCAAAAAGAGTAGTGTGGTCAAAGATAAGTGGAGAAATGGAGTTGGCAATTGTACTGCATCCCAGACTCTAAACCAGGGTTACCCCTTTTGCGCGGATACTAAACATGTTACCCCTTTTGCGCGACTACTAAACTTGGTTACCCCTTTTGCGCGACTACTAAACTTTTTATTTCGAAGTTTCAATTATCTCATGCTGTCGTTCTTCATATACACAATCACAAAGTCATGTTGGGTTTCCTAAGTCCAATCAGATTTCCAGCAATGATTTCTTTGAATTGAGCTTACTTTACAAGGTTCATTTTGTTAGAAAAGTATACAGCCGGAATTGAAGAAATTTCTTTTTTTTTGAAATGTTGGGCTTTGTGTGTAATGTGCCCGTAATGTGCCCCTATGAAAGATTGTATAATTCAGGTACTCTACGAATATCTGATGTGACGCTTCGACGTCTCACGGACCTGCTAGATATTGTTTCCACTAGAAAAGTTGTTGTTACCATTCATAAGGTGTTGAAATTGATCCATGAACGGGAACAAGCTTACGGATATGACTTCTTGGTAATTTTGATTGTTATTGAACTTTTCCAAGTTTTTAAGTTGTTTAACTCTCTTGAAGCCTTAGCAATTCCGTAATCTTTCAGATCGATAAAAAGTCACTAATAAAGTGCCTGAAAGCGCTGGAAAATGTGCATCTTATTCGTGTTTTCGAAACAAGTGTTGTTGCTGAAAGTATCGAGAACAGAGTACGTTTTCATCTTTCTTTTGTTCTGTAGTCTTAGTATTGATGTTAGTATTCCCTGTAAGTGGGCGGAAGTGCTGTAGTGTGAAGGAAAGTGGCGCCCTGTCACACACGCAGGTCCGTTGTTAGCATCCTGGACCGATATTCGCATAGGCCGTAGCCTTCCATCTCTTTGACCTGCGGTCGTTTAATTGGTACCAGACGAACAGGGAACAAAAGCGTGACAGTACATCGGCTTGCTATGACAGTTCATTGTATATGCACCCTCAAACCGCCACTAGTACATTTCTGAATGAATCTCGTGTGCAGGGTGCTCCCAAAACGCGATCGACACCTATTAACGTCGAAAACTTTATTCTTCTTCTTTTTATTTATTTTCTGTAATTGTTTTGGAACTACTCTTACTTCCTTATTACGGTTAATCTTACTTTTTATCGCACTGATATAGATCCAAATCGTCTGTCATCGTGATATTCGTTCCACCGATGATCCCGAGGTCACCCAGGCAATCCAGACTACAGTAGATGAGTACCATCAAGAGGGGCGAGTGTTTCCTCATGGGCAACTTAGGTAAATAGGTGGTTCGGAAAACACTAGTTTTTGATAGAGACATGATTAATTCAACCTGATTATTTAGATACTCTGTGAAGAAAAGAGCTGAAATAGAGAGGCAGTCAAAAGTTCTCGAAGAATCGTTCCAAGATATCGCGAAAGACTATGGCACTGGGATAGATTTACTGTCACGATACCAGCTGCTGCGGCTGCAGGTAGTCATCAGTGTACATGGTCTTAATGCCGTTTCCATTGTTTTTGTTTTCGACATCCCGATCGGCTGCAATACTGCCACCGAAGAAAGTGGAACCTTCGAAGTCAGATTCAATAGCGCACAAGGAGAATCAGAAAGCTCTTGAGTCACCGTGCTCCGAGTCAACCCATAATCCAACTAACGGGGATAAGATGTTATCAAATGGCAAAGCTAAAAACGTAAGTTTTTGATGTAGTGTATGGAAGGTCAAATTTTGTCATAACTTATGCGCGTGCATAGGTTCCTAAATTCTCCGAAATCTTTCCTGTTCTCAGATTTCAATCGATTCCAAAGGGCCATTGAGCACCATCACGATAAGACCCGGCAAGTTCTTTGTCTTGTTGCGCTATATCGGCTTGTAATGTTTATTTCGTTCCATCTTATACTTTGCAATTATAGAATCTCCCAGACGTCCGGATCTTGAATTCACCAGTGAATACGGTTACCAAACGAAGGCCATACGATGCTTTGTGATCCATGAGCTCGCATACCAGTTGGTCTATGGGTATCCGGAAGGCACGAACCCAACATGCTACGATTTGTAAGCCGTTTGCTCCTTTAAAATGTTTAAAATGAAGGTGGGCAGTTTAATCCTGCTATTAGCAACGGCGTGTGCATCTATGTCCGCATTTGAAAGCTTTCAGTAGAGTGAATAGATATTTCATTATCAGAGAAATGTTTCGCATAAGTTTTGGGTGATCGTTTTTGAGTTTAGAGTAGCTGCACGAAACTTATCTAATGGTAAAATTTGGTTTCGAAACTTTGATTGCATTCGTTGCGTTGGGGCTTGGTAATCTCTTTGAATGGAAGTGCAGTACACCGCTGGTTCATAATCAACATTCTAATGAGTAATCATGTAGGATAACCCTAACTGGTCCATAATCCTCATTGTGATATCTGTTCGATTTCGCTTGAACACCTACAGAGGTCCTGCAGCCAAAATTCAAACATTTCACCAGCTGACTGACGACAAATTCATTTCGTCCTCCACAACAGCAATTTTTTTTTTGGATTCTTTGCAGAAAATCATTCGGCGGTGTCTCCTATGACGATCTGTGTTTTATTGCTAACAGCTGAATTAGCCTTCCATTGTAAATCTGGAATTCTGTTATAAATCGTCGTACAAGGGAACCAGCATTGCTCAGGCATTTAAAGATAGTTCATAATTTTAATTATTGCCCATCAATACGTTTTGCCCAAATTGCGCTTTACACAGTGTTCAAAGGTTTATTGATATGCTAGTACACTGTAAATAAGTGCTTTAAAGGCAAAAATCAGGATATAGCAAGGCGCCTGAACTAAATTAAGTCAAAATTCATGTAACTGTTCTCAATCATTTGAATCTTTAACATTCTAACACGTTTAGATTTCCTCCTGGTGACAACTACAACACTTGGCCTGTACGCCTGGAGGATGATTTGAAGGTCTTTGTTGATGAAGAGTCGCCTCTCCGATTTCTTCCGCCACTTCCTAAATTCTGTGGTACTGAAAGGTATGAAGGGAACTTTGCTTACCATATGAGAATAACTACGAAGTAAATCGCTTTTAGAGGGTGGTTTATGGTTCAAGACTTTCTGTTTGCTCTGCCATTGTCAGCATTCGTTCTGGTTGTACATGTGAACAAGAAAATCGATGTAAGTTCGTATTGGCTTATGGCATATTATGCTAGTATTGCATTATGTAAACGTGCTGGTTTAGAAAAATATCCTGCAGTCATACCTGTCCGACCCGATTAAACGGCACATTTGCATTGGATGTCTTCCAAACGAAGTGCGAAATCCCATATTAAAGGTGGTTGTGAACAAGATTTTTTCACTTTTTATAGATATTGTGTAGTTTAGTCATTCACTGATACATGGGCCGCTAAGGTATTTACTGTGATGGCATTCCTCATCATGCATGTGCGAAATGAAACAATAAGTGTATGTATGTAGAATAATCGCGCAGCGGTTCACGCCTTCAAGGGAGTGCTTCCCCCCTGCTTCCCCCTCCTTTTCTCAGGAATTGGCCTAGTTTAGCGCCTTTGGTACCGAATCAATCGGGTTCGTTCATTGCGGGATGAGCCGTTGAATTCACAGTAGAGCAACACAGCTGTGACAAACGAAGATCTTAACGAAGTAAAATAACCTACTTCAGGGAGCAAGTACGCTACGAGCAGGAGTTCTGTTCCTAGAGCTCAAGATATCATTAACACATACATCGGCTAGTGCTATTACTGTTAGTCTACTCAGCTAAACAACTCCTATAGTTCACAGTTCAGATGAAAGTAACTAGGAGTAATCACTTCTATACGGGATGAGCGAATATCATTATTTTCCTCGCTATTCGGGAGCGGAGGAGGTGTAGGGGCAATTGACGCACTGTCACACAGAGAGATTCTTACTTGTGAAAATCAATCATTCCGTCCCCTCGGGATTGGTTTCTTCCTTCTCAGAACTGTTACTCTCTAAATTCTTCCTGCATGATGTTCATTCGAATAGAAATGTTTCTGTGTAGCAAAGCAGGGCTCGGTGGTCAGAACGAAATCATATGAATAATGTATTCAGGATAAGAAAATAGTGCGTCAGCTGGAACACATTATGCTTACACTTTGTGCTTTGGGACTAATGGCAATTGCTCCGAATCCGGATATCAAGCGTTTCGTATCTCCTCGTGCGTCGGTGTTTTATGTTAGTCGAAGGTGTGTGTTTTTCTAGTCAAGAATTTCCGAAGAAATTTCGATTTCTTAAGGCTTACTTTTGGTAATTATAACGAATTTTTGCACAACGTGAAACACGCTTCTCATTTAATCACTAGTTCCAACTTGACTTGGCACTTTTGTTGATCATTAAATGAATAGCTATTCCGAAGTAATCAAGTAATATCAATTGTTTCGTCTCTACTGAGTTCTTTCCTGAACTGAACGTTTCAAACTTCGAGTCTTTTCGAGAACTCATTATCGTTAATTCTTCATTCTGAGCTTTGCAGTGGTGTGTTATATGATACAAGCACAAGCGGTCGAGGTTACGCTTCAGTCACACTACCACTGTCAACATATGATAAATACAACTATGAGTTCAATAGTGTTGTGAGTTTTATGCGCCCCATTGATGCACTTTGCCGTTTGTTCTCGTTTCTATAAGTTTCTTTCATCTTTGATTGTAATTTTGCACGGACTGTAGTTTTTCACTGTTTTGTAGGCTATAATTAACCAGAGAGTAGGCCCTGTTCAATCATGACATTTTTCAGGATGACGTTGTGCTTTATTGGCATCATCTGCGAGCAATAGTACAGTCGACTCCACTGGCTTTCCGTAATGACGTTAATTCTGAGGAAATTAGTCAAGCACGTCATAAAAAGTACAGTATGGGACAGTTTGACAAGGTTTGTGCTCAAAAGTTTCGTCAAGTCAATTTACTATTATATGAGATTTTATGTAATGTTTCAATACTGAACCTGATGTGTCTTCTCTGTAATTTGGGCGAGCCAGTGTTCTTCATGGACATACCGCAATTAAATTCCGTTTTTTTCAGTACAGTCAACAGCACCATAACAAATATAAAATTTGCATATGGTTAGGAACTAGTTTTTAATGAAGGACTCCGTTGCGAAACTCTCCTTTCTTGCATGTCGTTCGGTTGTGATGAGGTGTAGTGGGTCCCCTCTGAACAACTATGCTAAAGGCTCGCTTGCTGTGTGGTGATGGAAATTTTCTTCTTCTTATTTTTCTTCCTAGTGGTAACCACACGCCGTCGCAATGTCCGCTGGATGATGGAAATTTTCTGGCCTACTTAAATGTACTAACCAGCTAGTTGGTGCGCGCAAAGAAATTGCAAACATGTAGTCGCTCGTTTTTTAAGAAACCTCGGGTTGATTAGAGTTATATTCACTGACTTTGTTGTTGGACGTTTATATGCCCGTGGGTTTGCCCATTGGTGAACACTGTTCGGGGCATGAAAGAACATAAATAGATCGGTCGAGCTAGTGTTGCAATCATGAGTTGATTCAATTCCTGTTGTGCTTCAAGAGAAGAGCACGACGTGAATATCTGTTCTTAATCGTCATATCAATTTGCCAGCTAGTTTATAAACGCAAAATTCTGCAAATGATTTTTAGTGTTTGGTTATCAAAGATCCGCAACAGAAAGTGAATAATCTCACACCACTAGGACCCAATGAGGGTGTGGCTGGATTTGATTCCGCACTTTACATGTGAGTAGCCCAAGTTGAACCAACATCGATCACCTCATGGAGGCAAGATTTTCATTTTTCAGACATTTGAAGCGTCACTGGGACGTCGACCCCGGTCAGAATTCGTGTGTAGGCTGGTTCATCGCTAGATTTCGGAAACAGTCCGACAAAGTTCGAAGTATAGTTGAAGATAGGTGAATAGCTGTTACCATGTCGTTTTTGTTGATCGTTTTCATAAGTTATTTTTTCAGAGTAGCCAATCTTAAAAAGGACTGGAATAGTTATGTAAAGAGTCTCATGCCGAGTGAGCTAGATTTGCTGAAATCGAAAAAGCAGAAGAACGTACGACCTGAAGTTACTGATAAGCTTAATCGAAAGAATATTTTAGATTGAATTATTTTAGGCTACGCAGACGAAGGACGGTTTCTTCCCTACAGCTCGCAACCCCGTGGCAATTGATCCAACAGCTAAGAAAAGGCCGAATTTGAAAAAGCCCTCAACTTCAACGGTAGAGGTCTCTTTCGAGCTTCTTGCAGAAACTTCCATTTACTTTATTTGCTCATTCATGCTGAGTCCATAAGCTCATTGCCAAGTCCATAAATCTTTATAGCTCAAAGTTTATCCACAAAGTGGTAAAAAGAAACGTCCAATGGATAGCGTGGATCTTTTGAGTGCACAAAACCGACTTCATTTACGCAGCCGGTTCAATTCGAGGGAGAGGGACATGGTAACGTAATTTTGAAGCGATTCTGTTTTAAAGCCAATCTCTTTTATTTCTTATCTTATCCTTTTCTTAATTGCTTTTTCTGTTTTAGCTTATAATGATTCGTGCTGTTGGCTTTTTCCTTAATCCTGTTTATCGATTTTGGCTCGATCCTGCTGTAGTTAGGGATATCATGCATGAGAATATACCCGAATCTCGCAGCAAAACCGTCCAGGTGGATTACAAATGTTGAATTTTCCTGCAGATTCCAACCTTCGTCGAGAATTGACTTATTATAAAGTGTTTTTCAGTCGCTCATGGCAGCTGGTGTCCGTGAAATGGTTCGTCCTGCTCGATTGGCCTATCTGCAACGAATAGTGCGCAACTTGTCAACCTTTCAGGTATTTCCTCTCACTCAGCGAGTCCGTGGTTGATTCGCACTGACAAATATTTTTAGGAAATGCGTGACCTTCGTTTCCTGTTGGCATCTTCTCCATTATCAACACCTGACGCAAAAGCGACGTTCTTCAGAAATGCTTTTGATGTTGCAAATCGTTTACTTTTTATGTGAGTTAAACCCTTTCCAATCGGTCTATGAATAAATGCGCTGCATCTTTGCAGGGAGAGTCAAATACTTCCCGTACCGGCAACGCCGAACAAGCAGTTTGAGGAATTTTTGAAATCTAGTCGTGTAAGTCGTCAATTAAATATGTTGTTTAGCTTCAATATCGCGATGCATCCCTTGCTCTCTCCCTATCTCTTTCTAGTTTCCTTTGTTGTCCCCATACTTACTTGTGATACATTGTGGAGGTGAGGTGCTGAAGGGCGGGCAGCGGAAACCAAGAAGCCGAGCTTGAGCTTCACAATGTTACCACGGTTGTGAGATACTTCGGTACTTTGGGGTGTATCGAATCACAGAGCCATAGAGGGGGAGCTCGATAAAGGACGTTATCGAAGTCATGACACGATTTTCTTCTCATAGGCTCATTCATGATTATGGATGACTCTTCCTCTCGTACTCGACTTTGCTTTTCCCAAGGAGGTAAGTAAAATGTACTGAGCTGACACCTTCGTGATGTCTTAAACCAAAGCTTTCAGGTGACTTTCGAGTCCTTTGTACCAACTGCTGATGAATTTATCGTTCTTCCCTTTTTTTTCCTTGTTCTTACCCTGCTTACAGTTTTTTATATGACCTCTCATTACTTCTTCCGCGTTTGCTTCAAAATAGTCCATTTCTTTCTTGACTGGCTGATTTCCGGCCATCCTTCCTCTCTCTTTGGTTGTCCGTATTTCCATTGCATGAGCAAGTCTCGCATCGCGCAATTCTGACTTTACTCCACCAAAATAAAGGATAGAGTGCTTGCATTTCTCTGCGCTGTTTCATATTATGTTCTTGCGCGTCAGATAGGCAAATGAATAAATAAAGTTTTGCAGTTAACTATATCTCCTGAGCAAGCTGTTGCTGCTCCTTTGCCTTTACGCTCACAACCACCCGCATCATTGGAACATATACACCATTGCGTTGCTATAAATATACTTCTTGTAAGTTCATTTTTTGATCTTCTACTGCTAGTGTTGGGAAACTGCTACATATGAGAAATGATAATAATTTTCATGCAATTCTATTCGCTTTCAGTCAATTCTTATCCACTCAACAGATGGAGCATTTTCTGAGTCAATTCTCGATCAGATCTCAGCTGCTGTGATTTCTAATGCTTTGCAAGTAAGTAACAATTTAATCTTCTTGTTTTAGAAGTATTTTACTGTAAATTATATACTTCTTTTGGTTTTCTTCCAATTTCTCCTGGCTCATAAAAGCCGTTGATTAGGAACCCTACTTGTCTTCTACTTATACACTTCCTATTATTTTTTTGAGGTATTACGAGCCGATGGATTGGTGTCCCGATCTCGAACTCTTGATCCTCAGTTAATGGTAATAACAAAAAATCAAGCAATACTTTCTTATTAGTAAGTTCTCAAAATCAGCACTTCCAAGTTTGTCACCTATCCTTATTTACTCCTCTTTTAACGGCAGTGATTTTTTTTCAGCTTCCGACATTTCTTTGCTCATCGATTTCATCCAGACATAGTAGAACAGTCATTAGCCGTTTTCAATACCATAGATGATTCCATTAACGAGACAGAAGAGTTAGAAGGAGATCTCGCTGGTGCTCTCGTTGTTGCGTCGTCGTCTTTCTATAATGACGTATGTATAGGTTCGCATTCTATCTCATAGCTGTGATATAGTGATATCATTTCAGAGTAGCCTTGACGTTTGTGTTGATGACGAAGTATTCACAATGTTTGAAAGTGCAGCACTCGAACAATCGACGCAATCGATCAAACAAATTCGGTACCTCGAGAGCGCTGATTTACATCTGGAGAAAATCCACGTCTATCAAACCAGTGCTTCAGAGCATCCAGAACTGCCTACCTGGCAATCGTTAACGAACAGTATCGACTGGTTAGTTACGTCTTGGCTAAAACTTTGAACAAATTCTCCATCGGTTTATAAGATACTGACGATTCTCGTATGATTTAGGTCACAGCCGGCGAGCAGGCATCCGCCTCCACCATTTGAAGAGTTTTTGTTGGACATTCCAGTTTCACAACGAAAGAACTTGAGATCCGTTTACAAGCCGATCAAAGAAGCAGGGGCTAAGGGTATCAAGTTTTCCGATATACAGGTAATGATCTCTTTGATTTTTGGTCATAGTATTCATGATTGTGCTTCAAAGATTCCTTCTATTTTCAATGTGTTAAATTAATTAATGTGTTTCAATGTTTCAATGTGTTGTTGTGTTAGTGGTTGTTTTTCATTTTTTGTTTCTGTGGAGTACAGTTTCGATTTGTTTATTACGGTCCGGTAGAGATAAATTTAATGCAGTGTCTGATTTATCTGGGGTTATGATAACTGTTATACTATAGTTGTTTGAAGCTGTTGACTGGTATTGCGTTCAAGCATTCACTTAAGGAAGCAGCATCTTTGGATAGTGAGGAAACTCGAGAGGCCTTGAAGACTCTTGAAAAAGAGTGCCAAGTGAGTTTTTTGCATTTCCTAGCCTATTACATCTATAATGCATAATTTGCTGTAATTTAACTAGGCGATATTTTAAATTTAAATGTGCTTCATTGCTCTGTATTTCGAAGTACTCATTTCGTGAGTACTCTTTACCAGGTGCTTGGTTTCTAGAAACGAAATTTGAGCGGAATTTTGACTTAGGTTGTGTCGTGTACACTAAGTTGATAGTCACGGAGCATTGAAAACATTTCCATGTTATTCTTGAGGACGGAGAAAAGGGGCCCTGGACATTTGACCCACACCTCAGCGTGCGTAGCCCCACTGGCTGTATTACATTTCGCTTGTTGCCGATTATGGATTTAGTGAATTTTTCAGATCGTTCCTGTTGGCGTAGAGGTGAAACGATGGGTGGCAGCAGAGTTCGCGTCGGCATGGTGTGTAAATGTAGGCGGCAGGCTTGTCTCACCTCGTCCTTGGACAATGCCTTCAGGTTAATTCATTCTTCATTTTCGTGGTCGTAGACCAAAACAGAAAATGAAATTTAGTCTGTGAAAGACTTGGAGGCCTGCTCAAAGGTCTCTGTTTAGGTGAGATTTGCGCGTCGACTGTTCGATGGATGGCTGAGAGTGTCTTAATGACTGCCGTATCCTCGCCTGGCATTACGATGAAAGATATCTGCTTCCGGCTAGAGTTTGCTTTGCAGGGTGCTGCGGTTCAAGATTTGGTGCGTGTTGAATTTATCACGTTCATAGACCGCTTATTATATCGTTATCACTCATATTTACAACTGGCGCTATGGTTTACCTCATATACGGCTTACAGATTACCGTTCTGGAATCTGCGGGCTGTGTGAAAGTAATTGATGAAGTTTTCGAGAATATGAACCTGGTGTCTCCGTTCCAAGGTAAATTTGTGCAATGAGAAGATTTACATTATATTCCTTATTCCCTTTTTTCAGAAGGTCAAAAGGACATCTGCGTTTCCTACGTTCTTCCTGCGGTGGACAGTATAGAGAGATTCTCTAAAATTTTTGGAGGTTGTTTTTTTATTCTTTGATAGCTTATTAACTCGCGAAAGGTTTCGCTGCTAGTATGAAGGTGACGGAGCAGAAATAAATGAGGTCGCATTCAGGGGCATTCTTTCGGGAGCTACAATTTAGGAACAGTTTTGTCTTGAAGTGAAATCTCTGGTCCGTGCATCGGCGGGCTTTAGGCTTTTGTGTATCTCGGACTATCGTCGGGTTTTTCATAATGCAATCTTTGCTCATGGGTGCATTCAATACACATTAGGAAGCACTGAGCGATGTACCGATTCCTCGCAGCTCGTATGGTTTGTTCTAATTATCAAATACGAATGGTAGGAATCATGTTTCAGCTACATACCCCGCGTGGAAGGGAACTAATTGTAAGCTGTAATCAAGTTTATTGTTATCGGGCTCTTCTTAGGACATGACGAAGCAGTGTCTCTAAATGACCCACGTTCTTCGGAATTCACAAATATACCAGCCTCCTGAATGAATGGCGAATTCATGGATTCCTTCTGGAGGGAATGTTCGAAAATCTCGTATCTCGAGATGTTTTGATTTTTGTAGTTGTTTTTCTTTTCAATCCATAAAAAATCCATTGCTATTAGGTCTGGACCACTGGCATTATTTTTTAATATTGTTCTTACTGCCCGTAGTTGTAAGAGTAAGGATACCTATCTGTTGACATCATTACAAACAGAATTTTTGTAGACGTGCCTCTATTGCCTGCTATGGTCGGTCGAACTGAGACAGAAAAAGAAGAGGCAAGAACAACCGATAACACTGATGCTGGTCCAGAAATGAAAGTTACTCTACCAATGGTACAGAGAGCGCAAGAATAATGACTACTAGTTATCAATTTTGTTATATTGCCACTGATACCCCTTCTCGGATGCTGTATCGCTTTTCTCTACACAGTATCTCTATTTCTTTGCAGCTGGTCTCGATTGCATCAGTTGCAATGCTTGGGGTTTGGTTGGATGATCTCCTATCGCTTGAAAAATTAGTTTCAATTTGTTTGATACAATCATGACCACTCCCTTGGAATGTTTCCTAGCATGACTGATACTCAATCACTTTGAAAATATTGTTGTACACAGATCTTGTTTTCTATTATATTGTTGATACTCAACCAGTATAAAGATAGCTACATTTGTAATAGTTGCTATAAAAAGGTGTTCCCGATATTATCGATCATTATCTTATACATTCTCTATTCTGTTGAACAAACCAATTGCAGTCAGGGAGGAAATTTGATGAGTGATGGTCCAGCCATCCAGTCGCCAGGCCCATCATGGTGGTCACTGTCTTACTGGACTGGAAAAGACTGTCGCAGCCTCTCATCCGAACAAGCCCAGGCAGTCTCTAAAACAAGCGCAACTGTGAAAATTACTCCGGTAAAGTTGGATCCACCATTTTCTACTTATTTCGTAGAACCTTCGGAAGAAAAGCGT